CCAGATGACTCATTAGGCCTTTTCATCGTAGAACTTGGCAATGGCGTGCCCGTACCTCTTGGAGAGTTCGTCCCGTAGGAAGGTGTATTTGTTATACTGCGCAGCTGCTATGACACCCAAACAAAACATGCCATCTGCTTCCAAAGGGATGATACTTCTTTGAAGGTAGCTCTATTGAGGGTTTTAAAGAGGCATTTCCCGAATTGGTCTTCGTAAGTTTATGGCGGTCCCTAGGTTTTAGGAACTTAGGGAAAATTGCTAATTTTGAAATTAGGTGTCTATAATTGTCCCTATTTGGCACACCTTGTCCTTCGATGAATAGGTAGGCAACAAAGAAGTAGACACCTACAGACAATCTCTCTTAAACTTTCTTCGTAATATCAAATGGACAGAGGGCGCATCACTCCATTTTGTGTAGCTATAACATGAGACATTGTGTCATCCACTCATCGACCTAAGGCATTGTCCTCCTAGGACTTTCAACGTTATTTTTTCTTGTTGAACATCAATCTTCGTGAGGATAAAAAAGGAAAACCCAATCCAACTTCTATTTAGGTGTTCTCTTTTTCCCAAATTCATAGATATTCAATTAGAATCTAAATACTTTTTCAATGAGGTTTTTGGTAGCGGATGATATTGTATGCTCCCATGGGAGCAAATTGTGCACTTGCTCCCATTGGCAAAACCCCAACCTCGAGTCGGATAGTAGGATTTAACCTACCAAAGTTAACTCATGTGATTGTTAGACTATTGCAATTGCCGAAAGTACTTTCCGAAAGAGAATTTTAAGTGAGGCATTATTTTGTTTTCATAAAGAGCCTAGGCCTTGTAGAAACTTCATCCGGAAACCAAGCACTATATCTAGTAATCATAGAGCCATTTGAATTATCGATTCAAAACTCCATTTCATATGATAAATTTCAGTGAATGTCATCTCATTTTCAGCTATTAGTTTTTTTTTTATGTTTTGGGTAATTCAGTGAAGAAGACAGACCCCTACCCGTTTTTGAATTAATTAATGGAATACTGAATTGATCAAAAAAAAATTATGTGAGTGCTCTTGCTAAAGAAAAAGAAATCATAGTAGTATGGCTACTCATTATCCACTCAGATTGCAAAGGAAAGGCCCTGTTTGGATGAAGTGCTAAATGTTTTTACTTCTGCATCAATATTGCAGTGCAGAACTATTCCAACAATTTTTGTGTACATCCACTTTCTAACCTTGTTTGTTTGAAAAATACCATGAACAAGACCCTGAACGTGTTTAATCTCATGTTGAGAAAAAAGAAAAAAAGAAAATAGGGGGAGTAGTTTTGAGGTTAGGTACGTTCAATATTGGTTATAGTAGTCTCTTGGAAAACACACATATAATTGTATGTTTTTGGAGCCATATGCCTCGATATTAGTCCATGATCCATACTGAATCTGCAGAGTAAATTTTTCCGATTTTTTCTTGTGAAGTTTAAGGGATGAACATAAGCCTTTGGGGATACCAACACATGATTTGATACAATTCGGATTCTTGGAGAGGAGGGTAGGAGCAAGTTTGCTGTAATATGTGGTTCCATTCGACAAGTTAATAATCACAGCATAGACGCACTGCTTAAATTCACAAACCATGGTGTGTTCTCGAGACAAGAATGGAGTGAAAATGGATTTTGTTTTTTGTTTTTTCAGTTTTATAAGCGCTTTGGAGGAGTTTTATAGGTGCCTGCAAATTTTATCATAACATGTAATTTTGGTGTAAAAAATTCTTAAGATTGTCTCAAAATCTATTTTCACATTCAATTATAAAATTTTAAATTCCAAAAATGGTTTAAAATTTTAAATCAAGTATATCTATAAACATATGAAAATCTTGAAAATAGACGGTCTAGATAATGTGTTGCAAGATGCACTATTTCTTGGACGTAAAATCTTCTTTTTTTTTTTTTCATATTCATACATCTCAATGTTTATATGATCAATTAGAATGTTCTTCAACATTAAAACAACATTTTTTGATAGCTTTTTGAGGTGCATATGTAATTCTACATTTTAAGGTTACAACCTTATATTAATAGTGACCAAACGAACTGAGTTATTTATCACTTTTAAATAGGTGGAGAAAGAAAATAATATTTTTACTAAATTTTTTAATCGAAATGGGGCCTATATGTTGAGGGGGAGTTGCAGCATGGGGAGCTATTATTGATGCATTTCTTTCTCCTTTTTTTTATTTTTTCTCCCCTCTCTCTGAGCTGGGCAACAATTCTTCTTTTTCAGCCTGCCTTGTCAATGTCCTCTCTCTCTGCCTGAGACCTTACTAATCTCCATTCATGGTAGATTAGGTTAAAGTGGCCTTTTTCTCAATAAGTTTCTCCCCTCTTCTGGTGGGATCATCGCCGTTGGTTTGTCTGTTTCACTTTTAGGCTTCATTGATCATTTTGTTTGTGCCCAACTCCAAGTATTTGACTTATAAAATTTAACATTTAATTTTGGTTGACAATCTTTGAGCTGAAAACCAAATTGGAAAGTATGCAATGAGAATAAAATAAAATAAAGGAACATTGGGTCCGGTTGCAGATGGAAATTAATGGAGTAGGAGGGAGACCTACTTAGTCATCTTTTTGGTTGGTACCGCTCCCTTTAACGCCATCTGTGCACTCTTCAATTGGATGGTGATGATGCATGTGATTTGAGTTGTCGAGTGACCTGGAGCGGGCTGGGCTGGACTTGATCGAGCCTGCAGACCCGATCAGGCCGACTTAAGCTCCATAGTCAATTTTATTAATTAGGACCCAAACCCAGACCAAGGGTCGGATCTACTTCCAAGTTACTAAAGCTGGTGTTTTAAATATCAGCTCGTATTGGGCGATTTTACATGTTCAAGTTAGGTATGTGGGGGACCTATTCAAGGTTCTCAAGAGACGGAGCTCGAATCTATACCCCCAAAAAAATAAATTTTTAGAGTATTATATCATACGAACTATTGCTTTTAGAATGATTTTAAGTGTTTTAAACAATTAATATTTAAATTTTATAATTTTTTACTTTTTAAATAATTAGCTGAATGGGTTGAGCTGACGCACCAAATTGGCCATTTATCTGGGCCAAACTTGAGATTCAAGAAGCCGACCCAAGTCTGAATTGCCAAATCCACAATTAACGCTCAATATTCAGCGACCCAACCACAACTAGCTCTGGTTGACACACAATATTTCAGAAGCAAACCCTAGCCCAATCAACCAGAGTTTTAGCGACCCACCCACAACTGGCTCATGCTGGGTTTGCCTTGGCACTCCAAAATTAAAAAATTGACCCAAGCCCCACCCCCACCCCAAAGCCCTAGAAATAAGACTTGGGCCTGGGTGGTTAGCGCTTGACCATCAAAAATAAAACTTGGATTTGAGTGGTTAGTGTTTGATATTTAAAAAAAACAAATTATGTTTTGAGTTTCATTTCTATTAAAAAAAAAAAAAAAAAAAAGACATCAGCTCCGCATCGAGGCCATCCGATTGCCAGGCCCACGTGTGCCCGGTATCCGCGAGACATGGAGTGGAGAAGAGGGAAAATAAATAACGAGTTGTATAATGAGCAACACTGAATCTAAAAGTCGAATAAAGAATCTGGAAAAAATTATAGATATTTGAATCTCTCCGTACATGTAAATATGTAGTACAAATAATCTTGAGGACCACACCAGACCACAAAAGAAAAAACATGAGTAGGAAAAGTAAGTAGCGATCCAATTGGGTAGAAGCTTCAAAAGGCATATAGTCAAAGAGTTAGAGAATCTCATCAACAAGAGAGGACTCGTGTTTCATTTTAAGAAATCTCATTCCAAGTGGAAAGTGATTTGTGCCCGGCACAAATAAAAGTATCCCAAAAAGCGACCGGAAGGCACCGCCTCCACCTCCATTAATGCTCATTGAGTGCTTCAATTATCGATGCCCAAAATACCTCTGCTTCAAATAGAAAATAGCCATGCGGTCCTCTCACTTCCAAAAATGCCCTTCGTCTCCTAATTTGGCAAGGTGAATCCTGAACATGCCATAAATAGCAAAGGAATAGTTAGGGAGTAATAGGTTAGGTTACGTTGGGTTGATTGGAACCAACGTTGCATTTTATGTGAGAGAGAGCCACGCTATCTTTCTTCCTCACATAAGAGACCCCTCTCTCTCCATTTGGGAAACCTAACATTACCCATCTCTTTTGATAAATGAGAGAAAAAAACCTATCCTTATTATCTAAGATAGCTAAAATCGGCCTATATATGCTCTACTCAGCAAACAATCCCTAAGGAGATTTTAAAGTTCGAATTTCGTGTTCGATCGGTAAGAGTTAAATGCTATAATGGATATTAGGTATCGTCCATTACTTTAAAATTGCCAAGTGGTTGCTAGTTGATTCTAGATTGAGGAACCTTGGAATCGTCTTGATTGTCCCTTTTTTTAGCCTTTCTATTTATTTTGTTTGTTAAATATAGCACGATCAGAATCAAACATGCTGGAGTCAAACAAATAGGACTCGAACACTTGGCGAGTTGGAGGCCGGCTTTTAAAACACATATGTTTTGTCTTCGAGTGCTAAATCTCCAAATTTAGTTTGAGAGAGAGAAACCCACCCCAAACACCGGAACTAACAATTTGGTATCCTCATAACAAAAACAACTCTAAAAAAAAGAAAACTAACCGTTAGTATCGTACCCGGTTCAATAAATGAAACACATGCTTTTCAGCTTTCTGATTGGCCTGTAAAAGTTGAAAAAACATAATTACTTATTCTTAAAACCCAACCAATCAATTGAGCAAAAGAATGGGGAAGCTCTTTGGTTTTAGTTATGGTGTAGCTAAATATTCCAAATAAACTTCATTCAATACCTTAAATTTTGAAGAGGAGTTGATATTTAGAGAGCATGACACGACAAGACGACCCAGTTTGGATATACTCCAAAGAGTTTGGATCTCCCAGTCATTTACAAAAAGATAAGGTTATATTTTAAGTCATTCTCTTTCGACATAAATAGAACTCCATTTGCTCCCCAATAAAGCTTCAGCCCAACATCAAACAGATGTGTGATCCACTGTGAGTGCCCTAATTCTCAGGGAGCCAAGGCGCACCTACGTCTCTCTCTACAAATTTCCACCATTTTCTCTCTCTAAATTCTCTTCCCCATTTTTCGCCATTGATTTTGCAGGATGAGATGGGCTACGTCTTCGTCTTCCTTCACAGATTGGACACCTCATGAGAACAAGCTTTTCGAGAATGCTCTAGCCGAGTTCGACTCTGATACACCAGATAGGTGGGAGAAGATCGCTTATAGGCTTCCTGGGAAAACCCCATTTCAGATTAAGAAACATTACGAATCTCTGGTAGAGGATGTGAATTTCATTGACATGGGGCTCGTTCCGATCCCTTCCTATGCTCATCATGGGCTATGTGATGATTTTCTCGTGGAGGTTTCCGAATTTCAGGTGGTTCCTGGAGGTGGGAGGGGTGGGAGGGGAGGGGACCCCGAGAGGAAGAAGGGGGTGCCTTGGACTGAAGACGAGCACAGGTGCAATTCTCTCCCTACCCCTCTCCTCTCTCTATCGGTGGATGTGCATGTGATATTTTTCGGTCCAATTTTTTCTCATTTTATTGATATTTCATGTTAATTCTTCTTGGTTCATTATCTGTCTCCTTTCTTTTTCTTTGTTCATGCTATATATTCTCTGGTGCAATTCTTGTTCTTGATAGTTTGTGTTCTCCAACGAACCCAAGGAAACAATATAAGAAAGGAAAATGAACAGAAACCAATTAAATAGAGAAAGAAAAAGAAAACAAGAATGGCTAAAAAAATCATTAAGTCAAGAACGACTAGAAAATCAAGAACTCACTAGCCACTTCAAGGCGCTACCTCTAACTGTTCCAGTTCAAGGGTTCTGACTCCTTATAAGACTCAAATGACTCAAATGTAATTTCTTTTCTGTGCTCTGCCAGGGCTACCTCTAACTGTTCCAGTTCAAGGGTTCTGACTCCTTATAAGACTCAAATGACTCAAATGTAATTTCTTTTCTGTGCGCTGCCATCTACCCTACCCAACCCAACCCTCCTTTTTATAGCAACAATTAAGTCATAAAAGGAAATTTGGAAATCATAAACCATAATTCATCCTACTTACTACTCTTATTCCCTAAAATCAATTTGCATGTCATCCTAATTATCCCCCATAAATGGATATGTTATGTGTTTCCATAATCCATATTAATTGATTTGTCGTATGCCCTTTCCTTGTTACATAATTGACATGCATCTTTCCTTATTGAACCCTTACACTACCCTAACCAATCTCCCTACCGTTTCCTATGTTCTCTGTCATTGGTGCATTTCTTTTTCTAACTCTTTCTATTTCTGGATGTTCATGCCATATCTTTTTTGTGCAATTCTTTCTATCTTTTGTTATTTCTGCTCTCTATTGTACGTGCTGCAACTCTGGCGCCATTTATTTTTGTTGCGATTCTTGGGTCATGTTCATCTAGTTCATTTCTTCTCTCAATGTGATGATGGGGTTTTAATTTTGGACCGGCTCATGATTATGGGGAGCTGCAATTTCGAAGAAAGATTATAGGGGTGTGTGTATCAATTATCAAGGGAACTAATGGTGTCTCTTGGATTTTATTTTTTTCATTTTTTGTTGTTTAATCTATATTTACAACTGGATTTTGGGTTCGGGTGATGGGGATTCTGGATTGAAGATATTCAGGTTTCAATTTGGTTGGTTTAGGACTGGCATTTGATGGAATTAGTTAAGTTTCATTCATTCATTCTCTCTCTCTCTCTCTCTCTCTTGTTTGTTTTCCCTTGGATGTTTTCTTCTCTTGAATAATTTGGTGTGGTGTGGTTATTCATCCTTAACACGTGCCATCTTTGGTTATTGGACATGATGTATTTATTTCTGTGGCTTGGTGCTTTTAATCTCTGAATTTTTGGTTGTTTATATTCATTCATGTGGATAGTCACTTGGTGACTTTTGATGTTTCTGTGTTGGTTTTAAAATTTATTGTAGTGCACATGCCTCTGTATATGCCTCTGTATCATCAGTTTTTCTGGTATATTTATACTATACTTTCCTTTGAAGTGATAGTCGTGTGAAAGTAAAGGAGAACAGTTGCAAGACACAAGGGAGTCATCTATAAGCAGAAATAGGTGGAGAACATTTGTCTCTCTTCAAACAATCTTAATTGCAAATAAGTACCCAAGATCTTGGCAGAAAAATATTAAACCTCCCTTAATAAACTAACAAATATCGTGATTAAGACAACTGGATAGGATGCTTCTGAGGGCTTGTACAATAATCTTGCACCCCCTTTTTCCTGAACTTGAGTGATAATTTCCACGATCATTCTGGCAAAAACTCTGCAGTCTACAGAACAGTTTGGATATGATTAGACTGGATTTGTGGCCTTGATGAAAATATTCATGTATGTATGTATCGACGGGGTCCCTGCTACTGAGGCTTTATCCTTAACTGAGAACGAAAAGGACATGGAATGGGATGAAAATCCAAGCAAAAATTAAGATATATTCATACATCACTCAAAGGATGTTGGACTTTGTTTTAGTTCTTGTTGCAGAACAAGAGATAAATAAATTGAGCTGATTTTGTAGTTCTATAAAGTGAAGATGTGCATATCTTATGATTGAAAGTATATGCAGAGATTGTCCATATGAATCAAGAAGATTCAAAGATATGCAATGAGCTTTGGACTACGGGTCTTGTCATATTTTTGCTGTGTCCATCAAAAGCTTTGTTCTACATGCACATCAGCTATAGTTGTCAATTTATGGTCTATGATTGAGAAGATCTCATCTTATATAATCAGACACCATAATGAAGTTTCCATGATTTTCTGACAATCATTTGCTAATTTTTGGTAGCGTCACTTTCTATGCGTAGTTACCAATTTTGAGCATCTTTAGCCTTGTTTTAATGTTCTCAGTGATTGCAACATAATTCTTTCATTATAGCTTGGAACACTGAGGGCCGCCTGATTCAAATGCTATCTTTGGATCTTATATAACCACAGGATAATTGGCCTGATAATGGGAGTAGAAGATGCTTGTGATGTCCAGAGTTAGTAGGTTGAGAATCTCCTGGCTACATGGCTTCATTTCAACCTTAAAGCCTATTCCGTATCTGAGGGAACTAAGTGGGATTATTGGGGGCTTGTAATTGCATTAGACTTGTGGTTACATGATCATCCAATACTTCGTTCTCGGATGTTGCGTGAAAAGTAGGACCCGTGTCGGTTGCTTATCATCATGTGTTCGTTTGATCATCCAATTGCTAGGGGGTTGTTTAAAGGTGATCCATGGAAGATATACATCTTGGCGAATTTATACCAGAGTTAATGGACTGCACTTTCTTTTAATGTAACCTGTAGATGGGCAAGGTGGTGTCTGGATTGCTAATATGATTTGGTCAGGGTGGCGAGGGATACCTATGATATTTATAAATCCGTCTGAAATTATGTTGATTTTGCAGGAAGTTTGAGGTCGAATATGAAACTGGTACCTTCTTTTGTAATTTTAATGTACCATGCTTCCAGGGGCCTGTCATGGCATGGTAGCGCAGGCTTTTTCCTCTCCATAAATGAATTTAATATAAATTAGTAAATTACATAGGAAAAATTTTGAGTTTCTGTCAAGAGATTGTGTATGCTTCATCTATTGGTTTCAAAACCATGGGGGGTCCATTTAGTAGTCAACCTTGAATTAATTGTTTGTATCCTTATGAAATTTGTTGGGGTTTATGACCATGTGATTTGAAATAATGACTCTTAGAAAGGAAATATCATGTCATCACTTGCATCTCTTTTCGATGTTGTAGCATCATATATTGAGGTTGACGGAAAGTATGTCGTTCTTGCCCTTAAAATAAATATTAAAAAATGTAAAAAATGTGACATCCATGAGTCTTCAGCAATTGTCTGTCCTTCTTAGGGAATCATATCCACCCTCTCAACATGTTATTAGAGTGAGATTACCTATTTTTGGTTTGTTACGTGGCTAGCATGAATATTGTTGGTATTGCAATAAGTGCTTTTATGAATGTGATCTATATTATGTCTTCAACTGGTGTACAGAATTGATGTGAGACATAGCTTGCATATGGATAACTTTTTCTAGTATGTCCTCACTGAAGGCATTGCTATCAGAGATGATTGGCAAACGAGAAAGGCCTCACTGTTCTATGGCATGCGTTTTTATAAGATGTTGCATCTAATAACATGGAGTGGATTTTATATTTGTAAACAAGAATAATTTTGTGACATATCTGATATATTCCTTCTCAACATGCTCTGTTGGATGCATTCTGATTGCAGAAAGACTGTGAGTGCAACTGGGGTGCATCTTTATGGAAGACTGGTGATAATAAGGGGCCAGTTAATGCGTGTGTTGTGTGTGCATTCTAGGTTGTACTCTTTATGTTTAATTGCTAGGAGTTGTCCGAACTTTAATGTCTTACCTTGTCTCAAAGGCATCTTCATTTGGAACTCAGAATATGTGATTTGGAATTAGGAAAAATGCTATTGATATTATTGATTTATATCATCTTTCGCTTAACCAGTTAGTTTTGTTCAACATGTGATAGATAATGATTTAAGTTACACATCAGTCATTTTTTTTTTTTTCTTTTGCTATGATTATTGTGTTGGTTGCATGTTCCTTGATATGCATATTGATTACAACACTGAAATGAAATATCCCAGCACATTTAATACCTCTTTTACAAATGAATGCTGGAAAAGTTGTATAGATTGTGTACCTACCATACTGTTTTGACTTAATTTGATGTACAAGACAGAATTGCAATGACCCATTACCGCCAGATTTCCACTCTATTGATGGTTAACATTGTTGTTATGATAACTTACAGTATTAATTGAAATTTTTGCTGCCCTTTGGATAGGGAGTACTGCTATTTATGCTCACGTTTTTAGGAGATCATCTAATGAGTCCTTCCTTCGTAGAGTAGGGGCAGGAGGTGGTAATTCCACGGTAGGGTTCATGTGATGGATTCATTGTCCTCCACCAGTTCTGATGCATTTGACATTGTTTATTGGTGATAACATCAACATGGGCTAATGATCTTTTTTAGCACGAGGGATTTTTACTTCCTCATTCAGTTATTCTCATAAAAAGGCAAAGTAGACTATGAAGCTTGCCACCTTTTGCCTGATACATTAACTTCAGTTATGCTTTGGGGATCTAGGATTGTCTTTTATCCTTTAGTATTATCTCCTTCATATTTTCGTAAAGTATAGGTGAGTATGGAGATGGTCTTTAAGTGGAGATTTTGAAGGTGTGTTTTAACGGGGTTTCATTTAATACCTGGTACTGGCAGTAGTGGTGGGAGTTAGTTGCTCATTAGTTTGGTGCAGTCAAGAAGGCATCTGTAAGAGCTATTTGGGTGGGATCCATAGAGGTAGATGCCTGAACCCTCTTTAATTGCCTTAGGATGCAGTCATTCTCTTTTGGTCTTCTTATATAGAACATGATTATTGAAATGCGGTTCCCTCAACTGGTGAGGTGGTCGTGGACCATGGAGGCAGTTTGAGGATATTTTAATTCTAGCAGTGTTGGCTTATTGGTCCCCTTTCAACAATGAAAGCTGTAATTTAAAATCAACCAAAGATTTTGTAGGCCCGGCATTTTATAGAACTTCAGAGTATGACCATATTTATTTTTGAAAGTGATGATGGCTATCTATTGCCTTATATAATTAGGTGGTCAGCTGCTTTTGATCGTCTTGCATTATGGTTTGTACTTCCTACTGATGAATTTTTTCATGAGGAGGAACAAGGAGGAGAAGGGAGTTATAAGGAGTCTTCCCAAATCTCAGGTTTCAACATAGGAAGCTGGTGGTGCCATGGTGAAGCCCAGGATAGGCTTGATGTGATAATAATAGGCCAAGGTCCTACAAATGTGTTCCTGACATCGCACAAGAAATTTTTTTTTCATTAACTTTTTAGGTTTTCCATTCTGTAATTCAGTTTGTCACCTGTGATGTTTTCAAGTTGATATTATCAGTGATATTTGTTCATGTTGGCATTTGAAGGTTTGGAAATAACTTAATATTTTTTGTCCTTGTTAGGCTTATGAGGTTTTGCTTGTCTGATTCTACTTATCTGGATTTTAGAAATGCTTTAAGCACCTGGAAGCTTTTCTTTAAGTTTCATGGTCAATTGAAACTAATAGATATTATTTCTTTGTATTCCATAATTCTGCATTTCTTGCAGTACTTATATATCATGTTTTAAGCATGATTTTGGAACCTTTTATGAAATTGGACTCCATGAAACTGTGTACTCTTGAAACTGTGTACTCTCATGCATATCTATCGCAACATTTCAAGTGCTCCTTTCTCTTGAAACTGTGTACTCTCATGCATATCTATCACAACATTTCAAGTGCTCCTCTCTTGAAACTGTGTACTCTTGAAACTGTGTACTCTCATGCATATCTATCGCAACATTTCAAGTGCTCCTTTCTCTTGAAACTGTGTACTCTCATGCATATCTATCGCAACATTTCAAGTGTTCCTTTCTCTTTCATTTCCCAAAATTGTGTTCTTGATTATTTATTGAATTTACAAGTCTAATGTTATCCTGGTACCTCTCATTAGCAAAGTTCCATGTTGATACTTATAAATTGACATCATTGTCATCATCATCATCATCGTCTTTTTCCAACTGTTTGGGATTGGCTACACGAATCCTAGTCTGTCATTATGTTCTAAAAATGTATATTTATAAACTCATCTATATAGGAAAAATGAATGACCATCAATATCAATGCAGCCTGGTTGCTGGTTCAGGTTGTTCTCATATTTTGTCCATGCTTGTATGCAAATCTATAGTGAAAACCAGACAAATGTTTCAATGTAATTGCAAATGAATTTAAACTTCTCTCCAAGCTTGATTTTAAACAGTGGAAATCCTATACACTCTCGATGTCAATGCAAATAAAACTCTTTATGTAGGCTGTTACTTCGACTCATAATCCTTGTTGGCTACAGGCTATTTCTGATGGGCTTAGAGAAGTATGGGAAGGGCGATTGGAGGAGCATATCGAGGAATTTTGTGGTGACAAGAACTCCAACTCAAGTTGCCAGCCATGCTCAGAAATTTTTCATCCGCCTCAACTCAGGAAGCAAAGACAGGAGGAGGCCAAGCATCCATGATATAACTAGTGCAAATGCATCAGACACTGCAAGCGCTCCTCAAGATCCTTCTCTCTCTTCTTCTGTGAATTCGAACCAAGTGGTTGGTCCTCAGAGCCAAACGCCTACTCCACAATCTACCTCTGAGCCCTTTGATTACTACTATGGAGGACTTGGGGCTCATCAGGGGGGGTCTTTTGGCTTTTACCAGCAATGAGGAAATAGAGGTCTCATAGATCCTATTGAGCCCTTTGTACACTAATTTACTAGAGGGGTATGTACAGTTCGGGCTTCTCTGTCTGTCTCTTTGATCTGTTGTTTCTCTGATAAGGTTATTTTGCATGTTGGTTGTGCTTTCTTTCCCTGCATTTATTATTTAGTGATGGAATTGTCATCTGATTTGGTTGAAATAAATTAAAGATGTCACATGTCTATATTGTAATGGAAGGATGAGTATGATCGATTCTTGTATAGTGGCAATTTGGATGGTGAGTTGTTGAGACTTGGTGGTTTATAGTAAAAATCAGAGCTTTGATTTCACTAATTATGATGATGGGTTACCATATGCAGCAGATGCCATTTTTTTGGTTGTTTTAGCTTAAGGATTGTATACAATGGGACCATCTACTTTTGATACAAGGTGTTCACAATTCCTTACAACCATTTGATGTGAAATTTGATAGCTTAGATGTGTTACAAAGTTCAAGAAATTTATTTTGAAGTTTGAGCTTAGTCAATGGAATAGTTGCTGCCATGCAATTTCAAATCCAATGGTCAAGATTAATTTGACCATTTTGTATCAAAGGTAAATGGTCTCATTTTATACTTTCCCTTAGTAGAAATGAGCGGTCAGTATTCAAAAGTTTTAGTTCAATATTATCTTTTTTCAAAAATAGAAGGGATCGGGCACGCATGAGGATGATGATGATAATTTTCTTCTCGAGAGAATCATTTGGGCGATTTATGAAATTATCATGGGTAGATGTCAAAACACATCAGGGTTTTTTTCAACGATTTGAGGTCGACTACATGAGTTTTGGTATATATTTGGGGAATTTTATAAAAATTATCATGGGTAGGTATAAGAACGCATCATCATCAGAGTTTTTTCTCAACTATTTGGGGTCGGCTATATGAATTTTGGTCTACCATTTTGTTTTATCAAAAACCGTATTTTTAGTGTTGTCATAAGTTTTTATATCATTTTTCGTTATTTTCAATCATAGGATAAGAATTTATTTCAATATTTATTCAGGGTTTGATGCAAAAACATGCTATAAAGAAGGTTCATCATGAAATAATTGAGAATGAATGAATTCGATTAAAAATATAAACTAAATAAATGCGTACTTGTGTACACGTGTGAAGGATTAATTAATTAAAGTTTTTTTTAGGTTATAGATTAATTAATTAAAAGTTTTTTTAGGCTACACCACTTGGTGGTATATATCTTTAAAGTCCAGACATTTATATACCCTTTTTATCTTATTATAGTGAAATAATTTTTTTATTAGGGGTATTTTAAATAATTAGTTAAGAGTAAAATAGAAATTCTTAATAGAAATAAAAATATTTATTAACAATAGTGAACAATGACATCATCAACATGTGTGAGATCAATCTTAAGATGTTTTTTAATTACTAATAGAATGCCATTATTTTTTTTTATAAAATATCTGTTCTACCCTTTGATATAACCAAATATGCTTGTACCTATATTATTATAGCGTAGTAATTTTTTGATTAAGGGTATTTTAAGTAATTAGTCAAAAGTAAAGTAGAAATTCCTAATAAAAATAAAAATATCTATTAACAATAGAGAACAATGACATCATCAACATGTTGTGTGAAATCAGCCATAAGATGTTTTTTAATTACGAATAGAATGCTACTATTTTTTTTTCTACCCTCCTAAATAACCAAAAATGCCTCTCCTTGAAAAAATTCTGCACTATAGGATAATGGTATCTAAGTCTCTAAAGGGTGCGGTTTGTATAGAGCCTAGGCTCTAAACAATCCAATTAGAGCTTACCTTCAAATAGTGTCCAGAAATGTGGTTTACATACTAGAAATCTTTTTTATAGTCTTAAAATATTTTTATCTTTATTTATAAAGTTTAAAGCTACAAAAATAGTGTAGATTGAGAGATCTATGAAAACTTGAAAATCTTGAAAATTGACGGTCTAAATATGCGTTACAAAATATACTATTTCCAAAACTTGAAATCCATTTTTTTCTCCTGTCTATGCATCTTGATGTCAAGATAATCAAATTGAGGACATTTAGGCATCAAAACAATTTATTCAAGTGAAATTTTTGAGGGACGCTCTAATTCGATTGTTTAGAGCCTCGGCTTTATATAAAATTTTCCTATGTCTAAATATGTTGAAGACTTTAAGGATATACACCACCAAGTGATGTAGTCTAACAAAACCCATTAATTAACTCATTAATTAATTGATTAATAATAATCTAATATGGGAGAATTCAATGTATAAATCTGGGATGAGATTTGTATAAGGTGCCCACCTCAAAGTAAGGCGCACTTTTAAATTTTACTGTAAGAAATAGTTCTTGTGTCGAAATTGATGCTTTGAAAATTTATATCCCGTCTTAATTATAAAACTTGAAATTTCAAAAATAATGTGGATCAATTCATCTGTGAACACTTGAAAAACTTGAAAATAAATTATTCATATAACTTGTTATAAGATGCACTATCTTTAAGAAATTTTTTTTTTTTCTTGACATCTATATGTCTTGTGATCAAGATGATTAATCGAAAGGTTTCTCAACTTTCGAGCACTGATTTCTACTGGATTTTTGAGGTAAACTTTGCTTATATAGTTTAATGTGCAAGTCATAAATAAACTTTTTCCGAAAATGTGTATTCATTAAGCGACAATTAATTTGAAAAAAGTAACAGAGCACGATGTTCAGCTCAATTCGTTAAGGAGCATGATACTTATCGTTGCATTCATGGATGCCTAAGTCAGCAAGTACGAGTTTCTTGCCATTTTCTCTATTCTATTTTCTTCACTAATCTTCAAAGTTTATCTAAGCTTTCTCGTATAAAACCTAGGGTTTAGAAATGCTGGTAGCCTAGTAGCCCAAGTGATTCAGACTAACCCAGCTGGGCTGATCCGGCAAAAAGATTTTTGAGGCTAAAAGAAAGGGACAATTTGCCAGACAATTCCCAACAGTAATGCTATTGTGTTTCGTGAGAGAATAAATATAATTATATTGGTTATGAGATTGTATATTATGAGACTTTTTATTTTTGGTATAATGAGGTTACAATCATTCTTAACCATTAGATACAAAATTCAATAGATTGAAGTATATCGCAACACTCGAAAAAATTTATTTTGGACATTCGCTTAATCAATGACACATTCACATTCCCCAACCACCAGATTTTACATTCAATGGTCACCAGCGATTGTAACTTCGTTCTATTAAAAGTAAAAGGTTTCATTATAAATATTTCCATTGGTTATTTCTATGAATTTGTCAAGAAAACCAAATAGTAAGATAGTGGTTCCCAAGTGAGTTGAATCTTCTTATTTCTTCAAATTGGTGCTCAGATCCACAAAAAATTAGTATAGATTTGGTAGAGCATTGGAAAAAGATCGAAATGATCAATTTCTTGTGAAAAATGGATCCATATCGAGAGAAATTACGCAAGATCGTAGATTAGGGCAGAAAAAATAAAAAAACCCTAAATTTGTTTTTCAAATTTATTCCATTGTTCATAAAAATCTAGCGGCTGATTGAAAAGTCAAAAAGTGCCGCCAATTTCACACAAAATGGACAAAAGATCAGAGAGATTTAAAATGAGGCAATAGAAAATTTAAAAAACAAACCTAAAATTCATTGCTCAAATTTTTCTATATGAAGTGTTGATCTGAAAATCATCTGTTAGTTTGATAATGGATCAACGAAGGAAAAAATGACGAGAATTTGTAGGGTCTTTCAAACATTAAAATACACCCCAAAAATAATTAAAAATAAACAAAAATAAAAGAAGAGGGACGTTAGGGGGATCCAGCCGGTTATTATATCTTGACAGGAGTAACTTCAGTTCCCACTAATTCTCAATCTGAATGGGGCGATTCCCATTATGCAATTTTGAATACCGGTGAAAAGTTTAAGTGTGCTTGTTGCTTTATTTATCTTCCCTTGTTGATGAGGACGAGCTTTGTGTTTTCTACTCCCTCTCGAAAAAAGAAAGTGATATTTAAATAAACAAAATTACATAATAATTTATAAATCTCTAAAGTGATATTTAAATAAACAAAATTACATAATAATTTATAAATCTCTAATGATGTAGTGATGAAGTGTAAGGCGCTTATTTAAGATTGTTTAATCCAATACCATGTCTAAGAGCAGCTTATTTCGGACAACTCTGTCATGCATGTATGAGACATGTCTTTCTTGTGACAGGCAAGTATATATTATGTATTGGGTTAATATATAAAGTATATATTGCAATCAGTATCTATAAGAATGGTTAATAGAGTATCTGTACTTTACTATAAGATTAGATACGATTTAAGTATCTACGATTCTATTATTATCATTTATAATTTGTCTATAAAAGACAAGTCTGTATATTCATATGAATAATAGACACAATGAGTCTCTTCAGAGCTAGATTCATCTTAGTTGTTTCCATTCCTCGTCCTTGAAGCATTGTCGCCAATTTTCAAGACAAGTTTGTTGTTCACCCAATCGGTGCAATTTTTGTCGAGTCGTGTTTCGACTCTCTAATCAGTCATATCTGTCGAGTCATGTTTCGACTCTCTGATTTGTCTATCTGCTGAGTTGTATTTCGACTATCTGATCTGTCTCTATGCCGAGTCGTGTTTCGACTATTTGATATGTTTGATCTTTTCCAAGAGTTCGTAAAGCCATTTGTTCTCGAGGCTTGTTGATTTGCCACTGCTTTCGGTTCTTATTGATCAAGCAATCTGAGTATGCACTTGAAGATCCAACTGTTCGTTTCTGCAATTAGTATTGAAACTACAGCTGCTCTCTCTCGTAACTTGAATTTAGGTGGGAGTGTAAAAGAAAAGTGTATATTATGCATTGGGTTAATATAAAAAGTATATATTGCACTCAGAATTTATGGAAAGGGTTGATAGAATATATGTACTTTATTATAAGATTAAATGTAGTTTAGGTATCTCTATCAAAAACAAGTCCGAACATGCATATGAATAACGGACACAAGAAACCTTTTCAAAGAAACTTGAGATTCTTCACATTTCTCTCTCTTGCATTGGGGTGGAAGTTGGGTCGGGTCGCCCTGGCCATATACAAGTCAGAATCTGAACCTAGATGGACTGGACATGTCGGGTGGGTCTATTCGACCTTAATTCAACCCAAGTTGGGTCCGAGTCCAAGTCCAAGATCTTTTCAGGTGGGTTCAAGGCAACCCAGATATTAGTACAAATATATATTAATAATATTAAATATAATATAAAAAAATATTTTATACTTTTTTAT